TATGTAACCTGACTGGGAATCAAACCATGACTTCCTGGTTCCTAGGTCAACCACTTAACAATACTGCCTGGGCAGTTTGGCTCTTTGCAAACTTGGAGCTAAGCACTGTGCTATATGCTCAAATTGTAAAAATAATTTACTTAATAGATGTTGATTACCCATAACTAACCATCATTCATTTAGGGAACACCATTTCAGATGCAAATCCTTTGGCATACTTTTATTTAAAAGGACACATGTTACATAACTATTTTAATTAGAATACATTAAACTTAATTTGCCAAAAGGAAAAAAATGGAAGAATAACGGTTAAATTTTAGGGGTTTTTTTTTGTTGGTTTTTTTGTGTGTGTGTGTGTGTTTTTTTTTTTTTTTTTTACAATTAGAGAGTATTTTCTTAAGCATTTTTTAATATTAAGAAAATAGGCTATGAATATGTTGCAAGAGGATTTTTTAAAGCACATTCCAATTTTAGAAAGATTTAAATGAAATCTAGAAATCAGCAGATATTTTTGCTGTTTCCCCTATCGTCTCATGTTTTTAGCTGTATTAATATTCCTATCTTGCGCAAATTTATAATGTTTACATTCTTTTTGATTCACTTATTAGGAATCTTTAGATTATTTTGTCTTGATTTCTGAATTTTTTTATGTCCCTAAGAATTTTAAACACTAAAGGAAGTGCTCTTCCCTTATAAAAGTGTTGGCTTCTAAATATCTAGTTTTAACTTAGTACTGTATTTACAGATATTTATCCATAAAGAAAATAACAATGTTGTGTAATAAGATTAGATAAAGGTAGACTTTAATCTTTGAATATGGTTTTCAGTTTTTTATGTCCTCATTCAAGTACTTAGTACTTATTGGATGAAGAATGAAAGTAGTGCTTAGATTACTTTTTACCCTAGAAACTTTCATTCTTTTTTATAATCTAAAAATGTTTTCTTTTATTGTGTTTGTTTTTTTTAATTTTCTTATCATCTGTTTGGATGTCTAGTTCATTTAATCTACAAATATATAGTATCTTCTATATTTTCTCTTAAGATTCTGCCTATACATAAGAGTTTGAACTTTTTAAATCCAAATTAAGAATTTCCTATGGCCTAGCCATTATGTACAATGTATTTTGAAATTATTGTTCCATAATTCTATCATTTGAATATATTATTTATTGTGAGGGCAGGTATTTATTTTTACATCTATATTTCCTACTTGTTTATATGATAAGAGTAGAATGCCCCAAAAAAGTAATTAAACCTAAATGCAGTGTTGACCTTGTTAGCTGTTGTGTTTTTTTTTGTTTGTTTTTTGTTTTTTTAAATATATTTTATTGATTTTGTACAGAGAGGAAGGGAGAGAGATAGAGAATTAGAAACATCGATGAGAGAGAGTCATCGATCAGCTGCCTCTTGCACACCCCCTACTGGGGATATGCTCACAACCAAGATACATGCCCCTGACTGAAATCGAACCCAAACCTTCAGTCCCCAGTTCGACGCTCTATCCATTGAGTCAAACCGGTTTCGGCCTTGTTAGCTGTTTTTATAACTAAGTGTAACAGATGACCTCCTAAATTATACATGCTCTTTTATTTGCCAGTCTTAATGCAAGATCAGTGTTTATTTTTTATTTTTAATATGGTAGTACTGCTTGGAGTTTTTCTTTGTTTTGTATAAACCACATCCACAGTTCCTTGTTTGATATATCCAATTCAGTTTTCTTTAAAATGGAACAAAAACTTGCTTTTATATCTTCACTTCAGTTCTTCTTTAAGCATACTCACTGACATTTGTCACTCAGAATGCTTAAGGCATGGGCAGTTTTCTAGTATATCTACAAATTTCTGCTCCCATCAGTTGAACTGAACTGAGTTTTCCCTACTAAGGAGTCAAAGAGTTGTTTCAAGGAAGTATAAATTGATTTAGAGAACTTTGTATTCAAATTAATTTGTTTATCAGTAATGGTTACTAATGGTTAGGCACAAATTGTTAGCATTTCAACTAATTCACTAAAATCACATTTTCACCTAAGTTGTTATAAGTGCATTTATACAACTAAATCTTTTATTCTGCATTGTATATAATTTGTATGAGTAAGCTTATATAAAACTTGTATGTATAAAAGTGTTTGAAGGGGTTTGGAAGATTTTCTTTTTTTTTTTTTTTTAAGCCAATTTTTTTATTTTATTTTTTCATTTTTTTATTTTTTACAGAGAGGAAGAGAGAGGGGTAGAGAGTTAGAAACATCGATGAGAGAGAAACATTGATCAGCTGCTTCTTGCACACCCCCTACTGGGGATGTGCCCGCAACCAAGGTACATGCCCTTGACCAGAATCGAACCTGGGACCTTTCAGTCCACAGGCTGACGCTCTATCCACTGAGCCAAAAACGGTTTCAGCGGTTTAGAAGATTTTCTAAAGTTAAGAGTTAATCATCCTCTTAGAAATCATTGGTAGATGGGACTTTTACTAAAAGGAATATTTGATAAGTATCCACCATCTAATTTTGTTTTGTAATTTATAGAAGGATGAAAAAGTAAGTTTTGGATAAGAATAGGAAAAAAAAAAAATTTAAATGTATGATAAAGCACATGGCATATGTATTGATACAAATAGTAGCAATTACTGTTTGACAGGTACTATTCTTTCTGTGCTGTATGTATTCATATATTCTCATTGTAAACTTTTGAGGTGGGTACCGTTATTCTCCTTTTTTAGAGCAAACTGTGGTACACAGAATTTTAAATAATTTATCCAATGACACTAGTAACTGTCAGAACTGGATTAATCCCAGACAGTCTAGTTCTAGAGTGAACTTTTAACAAAACTGCTTTCATGAAAAGGAATATAACACTATCAGCATATATTTCAGATCTTGCTAAATTTGTAATCGTGATTTCACGTAATTGAATTCCATAGTTGCTAAACACATTTGTTTTTATTTTTTTTAGGAATGAAATTTAATGATTTTTTTTAAAGATACACATGCCCTACTCAAAATCTGTCTGTAAGCAATGGACTCCATCTACTTTGAGCCAACATTGTACAGCTTCATTATTTAGCTTTTTCCTTAAAATGTGTGGGGAACAGAGTTTGTCCTTCAGCTAATTTCTTGAGAAAAATTATAGGCCCCCTTTAAAATAAAAACAGATGACTTATATACATAAACTAGTTTATTGAATTAGATTACAGTTCAAGTTGACAAAGCTGCCCCTACCTGGATTTAAAAAGACAGAACTATCTTCCCACAGCCATTTATTAATGGTAATTGCTCTGGATATGTATTCAGAAAAAATTCAAGATAAACCATGTCAGATAATATTTTGCACGTATATTTGAGTTGTTCTGTTTCTTTCCATATTTAGTCAAATATTTAAAGTCAGCAAATCATGTGTCTCTTAATGTGCTGCATGTGCTAGCTTTTGATTCTCTTAGCAACAATATTGTTATGAGAAAGCTTTGCCAGTTTTTTTACTGTGCTTTATAAATGCTCAAGAGAATATTTGGAACAGTTGACACCCCAAACTTGGGATTCATATATAATGTATATTTTGTGACAGTGTTTTTAGCATTTAATTTTATATTTAAACATTTCAAAAACTTGTAACAAAATAATCATATTTAACAATAACTACATTAGGTATTTTTGTTGGTTTTTCTTACATTATACTGGGAAAACATAAAAGTTTTTCAACTAGCCTAGTCATTCACCTTCTCAAAATGGAGAAACTTTAAAAATTAATCATTCCTCCTGAAAATGTTTTATCTCAATCTCAAAGTATCACTCATACAATAAAAGAAATAAGACTATTCTAGATCCTGCCTACCTTTATCAGCCCATGTATCTTGACTTTGCCTCTTCATACACCAGGAAATGTTTCACTTATTCATATGTTAAGCTCAGGTGTAGAGCCTCCTCTAGGAAATATTTCCTGACTACCACCATTCTTCCTTAGTTCTTTTTATCTAAGCTTCCACAATAACCAATGCACGGCTCTGTAATTGTATTTATCACATTCCTTTTGATATACTCATCTACTTATGTATGTGTCTTCCTTACCAGATGGTAACGTTGGAAACTTTCTCTTTAACTAAATGAATAAAATATCACAAATGTCTTTGTCTTCCAAGTAGAATTACTGGTCATAATTTAAACTAACCCTTTTCTTAATGTTTTCATAGTCACTTCTCTGCATTCTCTCCCTGAGTGATTTCAGGTCCTATTATTTTAATTATTATCTTAATGAAGATAATTCCCACATTTTTATCCCACATTTATTTTCAATGATCTGCATATCCAATTGGCCACTAAATATAGGTGATTGGATAGAGATACAGATACCTATAAATTCAGCATATCCCAAAGCTAAAAAAAACATTTTACTTTCCTCAAACTGCTCCTCAAATCTGTGGTTTTTATTTCCATGGAAGGCTTCTCTCTGTCCTTCATTCTTCATATTTAATCTTTAATTAACCTTGCACATTTTCTCCTAAGCTTTTTTATTTTTATTTTTTTTTTTTAATATAGACCCAATCTGGGTACTCTTCCCTTTTCATATTGCTTTCAGTATTCTTTGTAAAATACTGATCTGATTATGTCACCCCCTCTGCTTAAAAACTCTGAATAGCTTTTCAAACATCATCTTGAAATTCTAAAATGTCTTCAACTTCACCCTACTGGTGAATTGAGCCACTATTAATTCAGTGGCTCAATGTAGCAGGTTCCTTGATGTGTAGGAGTAGAAAGCAGATTTAATACAACCTTTGTATCCAATCCATTCACCTTTTTGCATTATATTCAGACCTTTTATGACCTAGCCTTACCCTGTTTTGTAATTTATAGATATTTTATACCACTGGATGACTTGCTATTTGTTTATTCTATGCTTTTTTTTTTAAAAAAAAATTGTAGTGCATTTGCTTATTAAAGTTCCTTCCAGTTAACTTTCTAAGTGAACAATTCCTATGTAATTTTCAAAACTTTTTTTTGTGTGTGTTTTTAGGCTTGCATTGATGACAATGTTGATATGGTGAAGTTTCTGGTAGAAAATGGAGCAAATATTAATCAACCTGATAATGAAGGCTGGATACCACTACACGCAGCTGCTTCCTGTGGATATCTTGATATTGCAGAGTAAGCCAGTTCTCTGTTTACTTTTATTCATATACAATTATAGAGTCCTTAGATTTTACAGAAAATTTTCTTAAAGGTAGATGAGCAACATTTTACCTTACTGTAATACATGAAAATTATTCTTCCCAGAAAAGAGAATAAGTGGTTCTTGGGAATCCTAATATTGAGTCCATTGATACCGGTATGAGATCCTCACCTTGTCTCCCCACCTCTGGCTTTTGGTACTTTGTATAATATGAGTAATTGATTGTACACATGCTTCACCCTCATCTTCTTTTCTTTTGAGCACATGTACAGGATTGTCAAATAATTCAAGTATATCCCTATGTAATTATTAATTGTTAGACATTAACAATACTTTTCAGTTTGGTTACTTTGCTATAGGGAGTTCTCCATTTAGTCAATCTATGCTTGTTTAATTTTTATTAGGATTACTTCCATATTCAGTGAGAGTCATTGTATTAACCACCTTTAATGAGTGGGTACTTTCCAAGAAAATTCAATTATTTAAGCTTTTAACAGGAAGTCTGAATATCTTGACAAAATAATTTTTTCATTAAATTTCTTCTTCTTCTTACTATGTGTCAACACTAAAAATACTTTTATTGTCTATCTGCACACATCAAAGCTTTTCAACTTTGTGAATCTCTCTTAGTAAACTTTTAGTTTTATTTCTTTGTATATTTCACACACACACACACACACACACACACACACATACATCATGTATATTAAAGATCTGATACTTCAATTTAAAGGAGAGGCAGTGTTTGGTGAAATGAAAGTGCTCTGACCTTGGAATCAAAAGATTAGTGACTTAACACTAACTGCACTATGTCTTTTAGTAATTTGTTTCTTCCTTCTGGGCCTTGACTTCTTTATATGATTTCTCTGGTCGGTGTGGCTTAGTGGTTTAGCATTGACACAGGAACCAACAAGTCTTTGCCAGTTCAATTCGTAGTCATTGCATATGCCCAGGTTGCACTCAATTTCCAGTAGAGGGAGTGCAGGAGTCAGCTGATCAGTGATTCTCTCTCATCACTGATGTTTCTATCTCTCCATCCCTCTCCCTTCCTCTCTCTCTAAAAACAAATAAAACCATATTTAAAAAATCCTATCTAACAGAAGGGTAATATACAAATTAGTTATTGCTTCATCACAAAGATGGCAGCCCCAGTCCTCTCAGCCCTGCCAGAGTACCCCAATCCCAAAGGGGTGGCCACTGAGAGGGCGCAGTGTGAGCAGCCTGGAGGAATGCTTGCTTCATTGCCACGGCAATGAGGCAAGCGTTCCATCCTGGTTGCTAAGGGCCTCTGGGCAGAGGGCACAGAGCTACCAGGTTGAGGAGAGGGACGCTTGCGTCATCACCTGGTGACAAGGCAAGTGTTCACACCTGGCTGCAGAGGGCCTCTAGCCAGTGAGGGCAGTTGGGGGCCATGAAGCCAGGCAGGGAGGGCAGTTGGGGGCCATGAGCCCAGCTGGGGAGGGCAGTTAGGAGCAAGCAGGCTGGCAGGCAGAGTGGTTAGGGTCAATTGGACAGGCAGGCAGGTGAGCAGTTAGAAGCCAGCAGTCCCGGAATTCTAGAGGAACGTCTGACTGCTGATTTAGGCCAGATCTCACAGGGATATCCCCTGGCAGTCAGACATCCCCCAAGAGGTCCCAGATTGAAGAGGCTGCAGGCCTACTCAACCTCTTTCCCCCACCCCCCACCCCCTCCCCCCCGCACAAATTTCGTGCACCAGGCCACTAGTAAATAAATAAAAGGTCTTTTTGCCATTGCAAAACAATAGTGGTTGTTCATAATTATAACCATGATTCTCAAGTTCTATAATTATAATCATGGTTCTCAAACTCTTTCTGTTCTTTTCATGCATATGATTGGATCTCTTCATTATAGAAAAAATAGCTAATGTGTATTTATCTTTAGCTGTCCTTAAATATTTAATTCTTAGACATTGGGGTCAACTGAGGTGGGTTGAAAGCTTTCTCAACCACTCAAGTGGTATGACCTTGCTTAACTTTTATAAGCTTCAGTTTTCTCCTCTATTTCTCTATAGAATAGGAATGATATTGCCAAGGTTTGCTGTGGGGGTTAACTGATATAACTCATCAAGCATATTTGGCCCACAGAAAGTACTCAGTATATGTTAACTTTTGACCATTATTTCATTTATCTCTTCTGGGAAAATGAAAACCCAATTTTTTTCTTTAGGTGTTTAACCTTTGTGTTTTATTTTTTTGATTTATGTTTCTGAGTTTGAAAAGATAATTTTCCTGAATAATTTCCTATGTAATAATTTTTGCAGACTTATTGATAACCCATTGTGGCACTTGGGATGATTTTAGCTGCAAGTAAGTATTTCAGGTTTAAAATGCCCTAAAAAATAAGAGCTCTTGTTATAGAGGATAATATATACTTTAGAGCCGTGGTTGGCAAACTGCGGCTTGCGAGCCACATGCGGCTCTTCGGCCCCTTGAGTGTGGCTCTTCCACAAAATACTACAGCTTGGGTGAATCTATTTTGAAGAATGGCATTAGAAGAAGTTTAAGTTTAAAAATTTGGCTATCAAAAGAAATTTCAATCATTGTACTGTTGATATTTGGCTCTGTTAACTAATGAGTTTGCCAACCACTGCTTTAGAGGAAGGGCATTCAGGTTTATTAAACTGCTTGATGATCATCTAGGTCCTGGGTCTTTCATGCTTTTTCTTCTTCTGACTTCCTAAATACAGACCTTATGCCCACCCTGGTCCCCTCTTAGTGGCAAGATGATCACTACAGCTCCTGACTTGTGATTTTTCCATATGCCTATCCCAAAAACAAAATAAAAATTGGTTGAGGAGTGGAAATTATCTTCTTGATATTCTGTGTATGTCAAGGGAGGGCAACCCTCTAACTGCAGCTTATTGGCCTGGCTTAATATTTGCCTCTGTCTACTCTGGAAAAGCAAGAAGCAAGAATCTGGCTTATCCAGTTTTTTACATGCCAGTAAACAAGTGTGAGGGGGATGAATAGTCTGCTCAGATGTTAATATTTTCAATAAAGTAACTATAACTTTTTATTTTGGGGGAGATAGGATATGGAATATATGCTTCTTAGGTCCTGTGCAAACAAATTAGAAAATAATGACTTTTCTTTTTTTTTGCCATATGTACTTTGTAAAATTATGACAATGTTTATAGAAATTACTTAGTATATAATGGTTTATTTGTTAAGGTGATAGCCCCAAACTTTTCCAAATGCATGATTATTTTATCAGCATTATGTCTTTCAGCAATTAATTCCACTGATGAGTGTGAGAAGTTAATGAAACCCTAGTTTTCTTGGGTCTAGAAAGATATAGCATGGTGGATAGCTTAAGAGTTAGGGTGAAGATATCTCCAGATCAGAGCACTTGTTAGGGTAAAAGGTCCCATTAATACTAATATAGAGACAACTGTTAGAAACCAGGAATAACCTTGGAAAATTGGGTCACTTTGCTAAATGAAATATTTGGGGTTAAATTTGTTGCAAATCCTGGTTTTGCATTCACTAGCTTTGTGCCCTTGGCCAAGCTACTTAGCCTCTATGATTAATATTATTTTAAGAAATAATGTGGTTATTTGGGAATGATCAGGCATTCTTCCTAGTTCTTACTTCTCATATTTCTTTCCATGTTTTTCACCATGTCAGTACTGGGCTACTTTTAGTTTCCTGACAGTCCTTGCTGGTTCATATCAAAGTGTCTTTGCACACAGTGGTTCATTTGCCTCATTTCTTTACTTGATCGGTTTCTACCAAACTCAAACCTTTCTGGTATTCCTGGCTGATTCATCATCATCTCTAATTGTTTACATGCTGCTTTACCAACTGCATTGTGCAACAGAATAGTGCTAATTCATTCATATTGAAATGAGCTGAAGCAAACAGTGAAGGAGATGTTTTACTCTGAGAATTTGAGGCTGATTAGGCTACAGTGAATTCTAAATTTTTGACTTTTGTTGGAGATAGTAGAACAAAGAATAATAGGTTACAGTTTAGTTTATTGACATTTAATGTCTGGTCTGTAACCTAGCAGAAACCAGTTGAATAGATGAATGATACTTCTTCATATTCTGGCTCAATTGTCTGACCTTTTACCAAGATAATTATCCTCAACCTCTCCCTGCTTTGACTAAGGTAGAAGTCTTAGGGAAAACTAACAATAGAGATTAATAATGCCCTTTCTCCAGAGTGGATTAGAGGAAGTATAAAAAGGACTGATTGATCTTTTGAAGTCTAAGTAGCTTTAGGAGTTCCTGCATTTAAACATATCTTACTAGAGGCCCAGTGCATGAAATTAGTGCACTGGTAAGGGTCCCTAGCAGCTGCTGGCTGCTAACTGCCAGCTGGGTACTTCCTCCCTTCCCCTGGCTGCCTGCCAGCCCCACCTGCCAGGGTCTCCTTCCCTTCCCTCACCCTTGGTCGAATTCCCAGAAGAACTCTGGTCGAGGGGACAATTTGCATACTACACTTTTATTATATAGGATGTGTTTCCACTGCAGTTATAATATCCTTATTGATTAGCACCATTATACCATCTTTGGTCATTAAGAGTCTGTTTATATTGGCTTCTGAGTCCTTGGGACATTACCAGATAAAGTGAATTTGCACGTTAGTATTACAAGGTGTTCCAGACATGTTTTACATTTCCTGCCCTAGGTCTAGACTTGCCATTTCTCCAAGAAGCCCCTTCCTTGTAATGGTGCTAGAAGTGCTTATTGTTACTATTGGTCATTGTTTCCAATTCAAATTCAGCAGCAGGCTGTCTTAATTGAATCTCTTCTATCATATATCAGTATTTCCTTTCTCTTCTATTTCATTGCCGGGAATTATAAGATTAATATAACACATAATTACTATTTATTTCATCATATGGTACACATATATTACACTGTAAAATAACAGCAATACCACCACCACCAGTAACAACAGTATGATTACTAAAAGCAGTTTGAAGTTTGGTTGATTGGTTGGTTGGG